GGTTTTATGAGTTATGGTGTGCCCTATAAGCTCGGCTCGGAGGCAACTGTACCCCCATCCGCCTTGTGCAATGTGATCGGCGCCATTTTGGATTTGGAGAGGCGAGTAATAGAGCCAACGGCACTTAATTCGTGGACTACGATGGCCGACAAACTTACATTCCATGCATATAAAACACACATCGCCAGAGATTCACACACACACAGTCCAGTACCCATTTGTCCGGACGCTTTCCAACTTATTTTACATAATAACCTAGGCAGTACCCACACGAATTCATATGTATGGTACATACATACATAAATGGGTAAATACCACCAAACAAACCCGTACTAATACTCTTATAAGCCTTTATTTGCGTGCTTTTGTTGGCTATAAAATTGTTTTTTCTTTATCATAATTAAATTCATGGTTCGTGTATCATCTTCAAAACCAAACCGAAAGAAACACTCTCTGGATCTGTTCTCCCTCTCTCTTTCTCTCCTTTGGAATTTAATTCGTTCGCCGCAAGGTGAGTTGAGCGGTACAAATAAACGTACATATGTCCATATGTACAGTCATATTTACCTCGATCATTTCTATTGTCCACACACGTTCGATAGAAAAGGAGGGCAACAGGGCAAAGAGAGAGACGGAAAGTCGCGTGTGTGTAGGCAGCGCAAGATCGGTGTGGCTCAGATGAACAGACAGCTCCCAAATTACATACGGTAATATCCAGCATTCTAAAGTTAAAATTATACAGTTAACTATAATGTTGAGTTCGGGAACAACTTGGTAATACATATTTACCCAATCCCGATCATCAGTTAATAATGCCATTTCTTAGCATTACTATCTTTATATACAGATACAAAACCTTGATCAACTCATTCTGGCCAACTCTCAAGATAACAATGCAGATTATTGTTTAATCCAATTTACTTTTATCTAAGAATTTAAAAAAAAAAAGGTAAATAGGTATTTTGAGATAATGATTTTGTTAGTGAGTTGTATTACATCAAAGGCATTCCAAAAATGTAGTGTCTGATATTTAAATAGGGCTTTCAAAATATAAATAGGTATAAGTAAGGAATTATTCTTTTTGGAGTGGCAGAAATTTGTTCACCTTAAGAGCAGAAATTTATTAAAACAATTCAAAATAATTAAAATAATTTTAAAAAATTAAGTGAATAAGGAAAACATTTTTCCAGGGTACTTTTCGTATCGATACCATTTTATTTTACTTAGCTTTAGTTGTTGAATCTAATTATGCTGTTGTTGGCCGTAAAATTCCATCCAATCTTATGCCGTGGGGTAATTTCAAGCAAAACGAAAGCGCCACCCATCTGAGGTATCTCTCACTCTCTTACTCATTCTCCTTCTCACTCACTATCTCTGTTGTACGAGATTCCCCCGCCGATCTTTCACGTACACGCATTTCTTTTGATAATTTCATAATCATGTTTCTATTTTTCACATTGATAACTCAGCCAAAGATCACCGGAACTGAGAGCTTTATGCGGCGCAGCTTCGTACATGGCCCAATGCGAGTGTCAATAATTCATCGCTGACATCGCATCGAATGCTGGTCGCCAACGCATCTGCTCATCCCCCTCACCTGAACTCCCCCGTTTGGAAAAACTCTCGAAAAACCCGCTTGGTATGGCTGCGTTAGTTGCAAGATAAATGAAATGTCATTTGCCTTGTGAGGCAGCAGATCGGTGTCTTCATCCCATGGCTGATATATCCCCCTATTAGGCATTCAAGTACAAAACTTAGATGACTCCATTAAAGGAAAAACAGAAAATCTGCCGGTGAATAGAACAACTAGACCGAACGGAAGACTATACTTCTCAATTTAATACATACAAATTATACACATTAGTCAAATAAATTTAAAATAACTAACAAGGGAAGCATACATCTTTATATAATTTTTAGTTTAAAACTAGGAACTTTTACAATAATGATACGAAGTAAATTATTTTAGTTAACTTTTTATATTTATCCCACTAGGTGAAAGGCAAAATTAAAGTCTCGAAAACAAATACTTTGGAACTAGACTAAGACACTTAGAAAATTAGCAATGGACCAACACGAGGCAGCACTGAAATTATATCAAAATCACACAAATGTCATAAACTGAACCCATTAAAAGCAACCTGAAAATACTGATTCTTTTTATTAAAAATAAACTTGAACCACCCACGAATACAATTGTTGTTGTTTTTATTAGTTTCATTTTTCCATAGCAATTTCTTTCGACCATTGAAATGCGTACAAAAATCATTAAGACAGATCGTGGCATTAAAGTATACATGCAAAGTCTATATATATGATCAGATATATCAAGCGCAAAACAACCGCATATTTTAATTAGAGTATAGATAATATATAACAGCAACAACAAAGGAAACATTCAACAACTGAGAAAAAACAAGCAGGCAAGGGCGGAGGCAGCAACAAATATTAACAATAATTATACCCGAAATATCAAGACGCGACACCTATTCCATATAAATTTTAGCTTTCCACAATTTTTTTTTTCTTCACTCTCGATAAAAATAACATTCCACACGTACACATACAACTGGGAGGGGTTTGGTTGGGGGGCGGGGAAATAGAATTGGGAAGTGAATTTTGGACAGTACCTACACACCGCCACCCAACCTCCCCTTGCAGGGAAAGAGGCTGGGGCCTGTGGGTAAAAATAAATACAAATGTCGCCGGCATCAATAAGATATAAATTAAAAGCGTACTACAATCCCAATGTTAATTAGAGAAGCACGAGGAGCGTAGAAAATGTGGCGAAGGTGGGGCTAAAGATAAGGCTAAGGTGGCTAGAAGTAGAGCGAAGAACGAGAGAATCTCCCTTGTACACTGAGAAAAGTACAAATTTGAGATATTAACTAATTCTGTATTTATTTTGAATTTTGGTATCCTGAATACCAAGCTAAAAACTCCAAGCAAAACAAGCAATACCAGTAATGACATAAATAGTTTTTTATTTATATATATTATTTTATTGATAAGAAATTTATTGGTGTTACAAGTTACCATATTTTTTGAGTGGTTTCTTTAAGTGCAAGATTATATGGCCATTGCATATCAGTTCTACCCATTCCAACTCATCCCATCTAATTTCATACCTCGCTCCAGTGGAAGCGTTTGACATGCTGTCGTGTATCTATTAGATACATTAGCTACCGCATGCCGCCAACTTGCGCTCCCTTCTGGGAGCTATAGCTTTGACTATAGCTGCATCTACAGTCCGCTGCATCCACAGATCGTTGGATCTTTGAATCGTTGCGATGCTGCGACAATTTCGGTGTTCTCGTATTTGGAGTGTTTTTACACGTAAATTTATTTTGTTTTTGTCGACTTTAATAAAGTTGCATCTGCCGTGGGGTGGCACCTTATAGCTTTACCGAAGTGGGAGGGAAAACTTTATTTATTCCAGCCTCCGGCAGCTTAATGACTTCCTGCAGGGGCGCTTCTGTGAGAAATCGGAGGAAGGGCAAGATTATGGTGCGGTAGCGGTGCTATATCTCATTTAGAATTATTATTTGAGCATATACATACGGAAACATAAGGGACTCTTACCCTCATTTATCAAATTTAAAATATTTACATTTTTTCTACATGATTATTTGAGCAATACAAAAGTTCTGCTAAAACTAACATTATTTTCCTTGTTCTTGTTTTGTTACATTAAATTTAATACTTTGTAAGTGAAAAACATTTCTTACGAGGTGATTAATGAACGTTAATAAAATATAAGAAATTACTTATATGACCGATTTAAATCCGCTTTTCAGAATTGATATTTTTTACACACTTCAATAGCAAATGAATGTTGTTTCTTACCAGCGTCATTTCTATTACAATTTCAAATGAGGCCAAATGATTTATTTAAATCCGTGTGACAACTACTCACTGGATATTTCTATGACTGTAATAGTTCCTTTAGTTAGATTTCTTTTTAAATAAGAATGAATGTTATATTTAAATTTTATATTTAGAATTTGGTAAAAATGTTGGTTGGATTGATTTCAAATAACCGCTACTATAAACACACGCATTACATATCTTTTTAACTTTAATCACAAGGCTTCTTTAAAATTAAAAAAATGCTTGAGTCATTTAGTTGGTCCCTTTAGAGAACTAAAAATAAAATGTTTATTTATAGTAGCTATAATTAAGGACCTAGCACCACTTGAAAGAAAGGCCTAAACTTCTCTCTTCTTCGTAAAACTTTTAGCCAAGAAAGTGGGCAATTCTGCAATTCAATTGGTCGGCTGTCTTTCTTGCTTTCATGCTTTCTTCTCAGACTCTCTGCAGTCTTCACCTTGGCACCTCGCTTGGTTGGAAAAGTAAACAGAATCTGATTGTATGGCTTAGATAATAGCCCCTGTGTGTGAGTGTGTTGGTCAAATTGGGAAGGGGCTAAAATGGGCAGCAAAACCGCCGACGCGTTGCATGCAACATGTTCGCTGTCGAGCCAGCGAACCAGCGAACTTCGAACTTCGAGCCGACGTATACGTCGTCGGATTTTTACTTGCCGCTTACGAAAACAGGAATTCTTATTACGCGCGAGTCTCGCACTCGCAGTTCAATTTCAGAAATCAGACGGGCAGCAAGTGTCGTGGTTCAAGTGCGGCTAATTTGGCTTATTTTTGTGATTTCCACACATTGTTTTGGTTGCTCAGAAACTATCAACAGCTAAGCTTGAAAAGACTTAACAAAAACTTAAAACTTAACAAAAAACTATAACAAAATGCAAATAAAAATAAACAGGAACGACCATTAACATAATGCAAGATATAAACATAAACAACAAATAAACCAAAATAAGAACAAACAAACAATGCATTTCGAATAAACTCAGTGCTGTCAAATATTTTTAAAAGAAATCCGAGAAATTCTAGTTTCTAGTGCAAAACTATAAAAACAAACTGCAACGGCAACGCGTCGGCAAATTGGCATAAATAAATAAAATCACTGTCGTTTTTCAGCTGCTCTTTTTTTACAACCTGATTTTTATGAATGAATGCAGCTACAGCGAAAAAAACAAAAACCGCAACACAAGAGCGAGATAGCGAGAGTCGCGTGCACAGGAGCGAAATCGCTGGGGAATCGGAGGGGCGCCCAAAAAATCAGGGGGCGGGAAAAGCGGACAGGTTGTCCCGTTCGATTGCCGCCCACCACCGCCCACTTGTGCTTTTGTTTCTTTTGCGATTTTCCGCTTTTCCTACGCGACACACGCTCATCGCTTGTCACGTTGTTGCTTTTGCTTTTCGCCTGTCAGCGACTGTCGCAAAAACACACACACACACTCCCACACACACAGCCGCATGCAGCAATTGTTGTCGTTGCAAAATTAATAACGGAAGTTGTGCATTTTATTAATAAAAACGAAATTCACACAGAACCAGATTCACAATCACAATCAGAATCATACGAAAAAAAAACCAGAACACGAAACTCGCTCCGAAAAAGAGCAAAAAACAGAAATCGCAAGTGCAGCGCGACGGCTTCTTCTTTTGGCGTTTTTTCTCGCTTATTTTCCGCTTCTCGGAAAACTCAAGAAAACGCTCTCCGTCGTCTTGCCTCCCTTTCTCATCCATTTTCTCTTATTGTTATTGCAGTTGTGCAGTGTTGAAAAGTCAAACTAAATTCAAAATCGGCTAAAAGAAAAGTGCTTAAAGTCACATTAACAAACCCACAAAACAAATCCTAAAAAGGAAATCCTTCGAATAATAACCCTCAGTGTTTCAAAAGTGTTCAAATTTTACAATTGTGTCATCGCATCTCCAAAATCAGCGAATATTTCTCCATCATCGTGATTTCCCAATAAAAGTAGAAGAAAAAAGTTACAAGCGGTAAGTTTCAAGACGGTCCTCAATTGAATTTAACCCTTTATATACTAAGAGTAATATTTTGATTCACTTGTATCATACGTTTTTTACTAAAAATACAATTCCAAGGTTCTAAAATGCTTCAGCATTAATCTTATCTTTTAAGTACATAGAATTTAGTTCAAAAGAAATACAAACAAAATATTGACTCGACCATAATTCATTTTAAAAACCATCATGTTGTTCAATTGTTTCTTAAAAAGATACTAAATTTCTTAAATTTTTATTTGCTCAGCTTTAAAAACGTCTTAAAGAAAATTGATTACGCGCCAAGATTATTATTTCTTTTTCATTTCATTAATTTAATAGTACAATATCAACAATATATTTTTAGACCTTGTTCAAAAAATTATCATTTAATTGTATCCAATTCATAAAATGTTTATTTAAAGCCCACTTAGGCTGAATTTTCGTAGCAAGTTGTATGCATTGTTAACGCAACTATAAGTCCAAAAACTATGTTTCCCATTTTTATTTTTGCATTAAAAAATTCAAATTTATGTAAAATACAAAGATTGTTAAAAAGACCTAATTTATATAATTTAATTGCACCAATTCAGCCACATGTCGCTTGATCTTTCAGCATTAACTATTTTAGTTCACAAAAAGATTATCGTAAAACAGAACTTTCTCGCTTGTTTTGGACATGATTAACTTTTAAATGGAAGTGCGTTTCAGTCTTTGAATTTGTTTTACATAAATTGAATTAGGTTAACAAATTTTTTATGACCATGATCTTTATTTGCGATCTCTCCCAGTGATCGTAAACCGAAGTTAATGGCTTAAAAAAACTGACTTACAAAAGGCGTAAACATTTAAACATCATGGAATTATCTTTAACTAGCAAACCAAAATGTGTGAATCTATGAAAAATATATGTTTAGTTTTGGTTTTACACGCTTTCATGATTGGTCTGCGGCCCTTGAAGACAGCAACGCCGAATGGTGTCCTCTTCCGATTTGATAAATGAATCTTTTGCTGTTTGGAAAATGTTTTCGGGGGAATTTTTGTGCAGTAATTGCTAACTTATTCGAGGCAGTGGCAGTATGGCCAATAATGGTAATAGCAGCTAATGAACTCGGTTGGACTTGGCTTTGGATTTGGATTCGAAGTCGGGGGTCTCCGATACCGAACACCGCGTAAGTGTAGATTCCTCGCCTCAGCGAGTGTTTTTTTTTTTTTTACCGGCGTGGCGTTGAAAACAAACACAAATAGATGTGGAAACCCGGGGATGCTGGGGAAACAAAAGGGGGAAACCGAAGGCAGAGGAGGCGAACAATTAACGCGTCACTGTAATTACAGCAAATGGTAAAAAATGTTTGGGAACAACTAAACAGAAAAAGGCAGAAAGAAAGAGATACGGCGAGAGGGTAAAATACAAAATACAAAATATTAATAATCAATAGCCCGCTAAAAGGCAACGGCGGAGTCGGTCGAGTTGGTCGCGATGGTTGAGGCAATTTTATCGGTCATTGAACGGCCAAGACCACGATAGATTTACAAGCCAGAAAACGCAAAAGCCGAGCTGAAAATTATGCCAAAAACTCGAACTTACCGCAGCAAGAAGCGATCGGTTTTTGGTTAATTACCCGGACTAAGGCCCAGGCCAAATCTCCGTTAACCTCCGGGGAACAAAACTCCGAGCGGGTTGGGGCTGAGCAGTTAATTACATAAAAACAAGTGATTTGCGTGTGCGCCGCTGCTGCTGCTGTTGCTGCTGCTGCTGCTGCTGCTGCCCACCGGCATCGATTCCAGCTCCGTTTCATAGATTTTTTCGTTGGGTAATTTTCAACTCGCCAACTTTCGGCCAGGCTAATTAGCGGTGAAAATCTTTGGCAGAAGCGGAATGCCCATTTGTTGGTTGAACTCACGCGAGTCGGTAGAAGTGGTAATGTGTCCAAGAACAGGTGACCTTTGACTCAAGTTTAAGGTCCGAAAATACCATTATAGTATGTTCATATGGGAAAAGCTGTTAGTAGCGAAATTCCAAATATCTTTTAAATACTTTGTTAGCTAAATTTGTAAAATCTTCATATATCCAATAGATTTGATTTGCTTTTGAATTACCAGATTGGAACTTAAAAAAATCATGACCTAAAACCATATGTTTATTTAGAAACTTTAAATTTATACATTTTGTTTGTTGTGGTGCGTCGTCACTACTTTTTACCCATTTAAGAGGCGTTTTTGTTTGATTTAATTATGTTTTATGTACACCCAATTGAATTAACCTTTGACAATGCACTCGTAATTACATCCTTAAACATGGAGAAGCGTTTTAATTATTGAATACATTCTCATTTAATTTTCTCACAGCATTTTCTACAACATTTAGCTAAAATTGTGTTAAAAAGTGTAACAAAAATTACATTTTTGGCAGTCATCTTTCCTAAAGTTCTGTTTCATTTCATTATGTCTCAAATCATTCCTTGAATCATGCCTCGTCCTCCAGTTTCTACTTAGTTTCCGAATCACCTTTGCCTGGCGCCGTCTTCTCCGCATCCTTTCATTCTATGCCCCCACACTCCTTACAATTTATCATAAAAAATAAAAGTTTTTTGGCTTTTTACGAACCTTTTCATGGGGTTTCTGCCCCCCTGCGGTCAAAAATTTGGAAAGGAGCTAAGGAGGGGAGGGTAGCTGGACAATCGGCGCCGTGACTGCGTTCTAGATAAATAAGCATTCTTAATTATCCCTTTGCCTCGTTCTCTGGGGTGGCAAAAATGTTATAAACAATGGAAACCGCGCACTTAATGCGTTTTCTGTTTTCCACAACCGAGCAGAAGCAGAAACGAAAAAAAGAAGGCAGAGGGCAAGTATTTTTCTTCATATTATTCATTATTTCGTGGCAAAAAAGAAAATGTTTTTATTGCCTGCGAAAAAGGGTATAAAATGCCCCGTCGCCATTAGCCAAGGACCCGCAAACGGGACGCCAACAATTCCAATCAAAATTGAAGGGGCGAGCGTAAAAAGAGATTTCAAAGTGGCCAAAAGGCAAGATATGCAATGATGGGCGCAGTAAGGGGGTGAGGGCCGGGCCCGAACAAATGCCGTCGGTAAATGGGATTTGGATTTTTGGCCCATGACAGGCCAGTGACTTTTCACTTTTTCGCATGTGAGCAAATGTGTAATTGAAGTTCCGCTCAGCTCGAAAATAAAGGCCGCAAGCGGGCCAAGAAACAAAGAATTGGGGAAAGGACTCTGAGGACTCTGAGGGCATTCCATTCAATTGTTGCCTTGCCTTTCTCACTCGCCGACGGCGCCTTGGCCCAAAGTCGCGATTGCCACATGAGTTGGCACAAAATCACAAAATCACAAAATCAGTAAATCGCTCACAAAGTGCACGGAAAGTGCAGCGAAAATGAAAATGATGTGGCACTTTTTCAATGCTACCTGCCATGTAAATCATCGCACAAAAAAATCCTTCGAAAATATTATTGCAGGAGCAAAGGATTTCAGCGGAATATAGCTGCATCGATTTGTAAAAATATTCTTCTCATCATAATATTTGCAGTTGTTCTTCGAGGACTCGTAACGGCACCAATTCAAAACGTAAGCCAACGTAAACATTTGCCGTTAGAAGCTGCATTGTACAGTGGGCACTCTCAAACAAAGTAAACCTTTAATTGTTACAAGTACGAATTCCTTTTATTTTTGTTTTTCTTACTATTTTTTTGTATTTAAATATAAATGTTTTTAATGGGCCATTAATTCTGAACAATATATAGATATATACTATCATATGAACTTGAACTAATTGTATATCATCAATTTAACTTTAAAATTAGTTTAAAGTATTCTTTGAAATAAAAAATTATTTTATTTGATACTACTAAATTTGTAATAAAACAATATTTTTATTGGTCTAAAAAGTTATAAGTCATAACTTTAAAACCTCTTAAAACTTAAAAAATTTCAAATAGGAAGCCAAGTCAAGAAAGAATTCTTCCCACTGAAAAACTTATTTAAAACCGGTGGACTATCTGACTCAAAATAAATTATTGTAATTCAGACAAGAATTTGTTTATAAAAAATATTTTAAAAATTAAAACAAATAAAAATTTGTTTTCGACACGCCAAATGCATAAAATCCTTTGAGGACTCTTAACGTAATCGAACACCAATTTTTAGTCGTTAACGTACGTACACTCGCACCGTAGCAAACTGTATGTTCAGCAGTTTGGGTTATTTTGCCTTCTTGTGCTGCCCAGCCCACGACCTAAAAAAACGATTTCTATATGTTGACTATATGGCAGTGTGCTGTCCGTGTGCTTAGTATTATCAAATGCAATTTTCTAACGCAGTCGCACTTTCGACGATGACAGCAGCGACGCCGGCGGAGGCAGAGCAGCGACTGCGGCCCCAAAGCAGCAACAAAATGCAACAAAGGCCCCCAACAATTGCAGTTTTAAGTGAAAATAAAATGCATGACAACAGCAGTGGAAAAGGAAAAGCAACAACAATGCATGCCTAAAACCTAATAAAAATTCAAATTAACATTTGAAAGAGCGAAAGAGCCGGCAAATGGATCGAGTGAGAGGGAGAGAAAAAGCTGCAGCGAGCAAGCGAGATGGGGCTAGTGGGGGGAAAGAGAGAGTGAGAGAGAGAGAGAAAGCGAGACAGAGAAAGAGACAGAGACAACGACGCAACCGAAAAAGCTTATGAAATTCTATTAATTTTTGAACAAAACGGAATGTAATCCCTGCGAATGACCCATCGCCATCCTGCCACTCCCACATTTCTAATCGCCCATCGACCGATGGCAACCGAAGTTTTCCGATTCTTCGTCCGATGATGCAGCATTGCCCAAAAATTGTATCTTGTTTTTCCCTATTTTGTTGCACTTTGTTTTTGCGCTTCTTTCAGTGTGTCTCTGTTGTTGTTCTCGTTGTGCAGATTGCAGACACTCGCATAATAATGCAATTTGCCATCTGCCATGGAACGACGTTCCGTCCGATTCAAAT